CTTTTACTGCGTAAAATACTTGACTTAACCCATTTCAAAATCCGATCTGTTCCTTATCTACATTGGCTAGCCGATTTCACTTGGTTCCAGCTACTGTCAAGGGCCACTGACGATACCGATGAGACGTCTGGAAATGTACCAAGTCCACTGACCGATGTTGGAAAATATCATGCATACTATGGCAGAGGACTTCAAAGTTGATTTACCTGAGTCCACTTGACAGCATAACCAAGTTGTGAAAAAGAGATCAGACCACTGTCAACTTCATTAATGCTTTAATGTTGAGTTTGCTCTGATGGATTGGAAGAAGCATGGCTTGAGCGGAAACTTTCGCCTCACCAACAGTAGAAATCGTGCCCAAACTATTCAGGCAAGTAGTCAGGTAGGCGAATTCTGTCTCCAGGTTTTGCATTCAAATGAGACTACTGACAAGACTAAATAAGTAAGTAACTCTGAAATGACGCTGCCCACAGGTATCACAGGGAGCAAATCATAAACTCACACATGCACGCACACACTTAAACATATCAGAATTCTTATCTGCTGCAATTCATACATGTTCAAATGCTTGGACTATGAAATAGCAGCTAAAATCGGAAACGGTCTACTCAGTTTTGTGGTGGAAAATAAAACTGGTTAAAGGAAAAAGAGGAAAGTTCTAATCGCATGTTACTATAACGTGAGGAATGGTTAAAAGGCAATAATGTTCTAAATAATGGTTGATGAACTCACTCATTGGTGTTGTAGCAACGGCCATCCTCGTCTTGGTATGAGCGGACAGTAAGACGGTCGTTGGAGGGTATCTGAAGGTAAATAAAGATGAAAAGCTAGTTTGGGGCTCAAAAAAGATAAACTACATATCATGACAAATAAGGGTTTGTAAATCTTTAATGAACTATTTGCCAGATTAAGAAAGCCTCAGCCAAACAGCCTTTTCATGTTGCCAGGTACCAGACGACCTTCCCGGTAGATAGGTCTCAAGGCTCCCTTATGAAAAAATCTCCCACCGACATGGTTGTCCTTGGAAGCGACATCATTTGTTCACTCTGAACTTGGCCACAGGACAAGAGGAGTTGGTCAGTGGACCTTGGGAGGTAGGCCTTTATTGCAATGCGGAGTACAGATCCGTCATGGTGCCATTTCCACGACCCGTCTTTAATTCATGCCAGTGTCTTCTTTCCTGTTGCCTTGTCCACTTACCGCGCCCACTTCCCTTGCCCAATTTCCCTCCAGCTTTCACCCATTTACATTGACCAACTAGCATACAGGATGAGCTTGGTTGGTGCCAGTAAGGCTGCTGCTAGTCATGTTGTGGTTACTGAAATGGTAGACTGCAACGGTAAATTGCCAGCGTTTGTACTCCCCAAAACGCCCATTTTCGCCTTCCTATCCCAACCTTAACATAGGCGATGGAGTGAACTGGTGTTGGGCCAACTCTGCTCACAGCATGTAAGAGCGAATGGCAAAACAAATCCTTTCGAGAATTCGTCGATGAGGCATGAAACCCACTTATTTGATATTTATTGGCATGAGCTGTCGGCCGGAGGCATAAGAATAATAATCTGAGTCAGCCTAGGTTGCTTAAAGAAAGGTTACATTTTTCAGAATGAAATAAGACATACTCACAATAAATATAAGTAGTTAAGTCGATTTTCATGACAAATAGAAATTTAGCTTATCGACAATCCCACCATAAAGGTTTCATTGGGTGAAGCCTGACTTGCCTTAAAATTCATATATGCTCTGTGACCCGTATAAAGGCACAAGTAAAATAGGATTCATGAGCATTCCAGTTCGAGAAATTACATTATCAGCCTTGAATTCATCCTGTCTGACTAAAGTTCTTATTAGAATGAGCGCACAAAAATGGATGCATCAATGGTCTTTCGATTAAACACTGTTAGTTTTATTGAGGCTTACTTATACCATTGTGGGAAAATTCATCTATCAGTCCTTCATCACCTTATACGACCTAGGCGGAACACCAAACTTATTCAAGATGTACAGGTAATTTCGAGACTTAATACAAATATGAATTAGTTTCATTGTTCTCACCTCTTTCAAATATATTTTAGGCTGCGTTTTAACAAAAAATGATATGCGAATGCAATAGACTGCAGAAGACACCGTTTCGACGTCTGAAATCGTTTTTGAAATAACTTCTTGTTTTAATGGGAGGTTTCGAAACAATCTGTACCTCTTGACTAAGAGCTGTAGGCAGCTTAGGCTGCATAAGGTGATAACAAACCGATAAATCAGACTAATTTTTTCACAACGAAATGATCAAGCCACCTGCCTCCAGGGAAGATATTTTTCGTTCAGACCAGACTATAGTTTCGAACTTGAGAATACTGTCTAGGCCCAAGCAGTATCGAAATTCTAGTCCAGACCAGCCTGGACTGAGACAAATGCGAATAAAAGTTGGATTTCGAGGAACTTCTTGTTTCATAAATCATTGAGCTTACTTCCATTTAGAGTGAAAGTATTTTATGAAGAGATTCGAAGATCGATCCCACCAGAAGACAACGGCGGATTCCTCTTGAACATCTGTCGATTGGCTTTACTAGATCATTCTTCGCATTAAGTATTGTTTCGAGACTACCAGTAACTCAGTAATATGAAATATATTCACCCAATTTCGTTTAAGGGGATGAAGGACCGATAAAAGAAGAAATTTTCCCACAATTATATGAGTTGAGCTGACGTTTCCATTGAATTTCACATAGCGTTGCTCTCCCAAAAGTTGTTCCCATCCAGGCAGGAGTTGACTGCAGTTTCGACCTCGCGTCGGTCTTATTAACACCATCAGCGGGAGTCAAACCGCAACAGTGCAGGATGGGAGCTTGACACGCTAACCACTCGACAACATTGCCACGAGTGCTCTTGGGTCATAGGGTAGATGCGCATTTCAAGGAAGGCCAAGCCTTTTACCATATCATATTCTTTGGTGGGATTGTCAATGAAGCAAACTTATATTTGCTATAACAATCCACTAT